ATATATATATATATATATATATATATATAGTTTTTGTCCAGCAGATTTATATTTTATCAATACAAACAATAGAAAATCGATTTACTATACAAAATTTCAAAAATTTTGTTTTAAAAACAATAGTAAAAAATAATATAAAATGAGGATTTGTATATATCTCACATAAAAAATATATATATTTATATATATTATAACAAAGTATGTATATATATATATCTTATAACAAATCGTTTATTTTCAAAATTTGCTACAATGAATAAACCAATTTGAATATTACTATAAAATTGTATTTTGTGTATATAACATATATGCTAATCCAAATTAATGATTTTAATAAACCTGTTAAAATAATAAAAAAATCTCCATAAATGAAGATTCCAAAATTAGCTACATAATTATTTACATCATCTTTACCTACAAAATAACTATCAACTTAATTAAAGGAAACCTATAATTGACTAAAATAAACACATAATGAAATTCGAGTTATATGAAAACTATGCAATTAATAATTTGTTTTTTATTTAAATAGTATTATATTATTTCTATCTATAGTAAGTAATTAATGCTCGTGGCGGAAAAATGTTACTAAAAATAATTTAAGTTAATCCTTATTATGGCCTTGTTTGTTTTTTGGCTTTTTGGCCAAAACGCTAAAATAGCGGTTTTGACTAAAATCAAAAAAGCTAAAATTGATTGTTTTGTTGTTTGGTAAAACAGCTTCTCAAAATAGCTTATGGGCTGGAAATGCCAATATTGCAAACGCTATGATTTGCAGCGTTTGTGATGAGCGTTTTGTACCTTTTTTCTTTTCTTTTACACTTTTTGCTTTTCTTTTGCTAATTTAGCATATTCCTAAGCCACTATTTACGCTGTATTTTTTTTTTTTTTTCATTTCATCATGTTTTAAATTGTGCATAATAATAAATTTTAATTGTGTTGCTTTATTGCTTTTTTTTAAATAAGTATGACGTGAACTTATTACTCAATTAAAAAAAATTATTTTATTATTATTTATATTATATTTAAAATCACTTTAATAAATATTTAAATATTAATTATTTTTATTTTATACCGCTAACACAATCAGCTAATTTTATCAAACACTTTTTTTACAAACCGCTAACACAATCAGCTAGTCAAAACAACTAATGCAATCCGCTGGTCAAAGCAGCTAATGCAATCCGCTAACAGCTAACAGCTAACCACTAATTACCAAACAAGGCCTATATATATATATATATATAGATTTGAAATATCTTTAAATATAAAGTGGGGCGGTATGTTTCGCCGCCTCACATTACCCTATACCCTAATATATATACCATAAAATATTTTAAAAAATATTTTAAATACCGTACATTACCCTATGCCCTAATATATATACCATAAAATATTTTAAAAAATATTTTAAATACCGTACGTATCGGCCGATATTACTAGTTTTGGCCAAAATATCGATTTATACTGAAAAAGTACCAGAAAATACCGATTTTACCGGCAAATACAGTTTATACAAGTTTCTTTTTTATTTAAAATATTTGTTAATATATTTTTCATTAATTTAGCTATATAAATTTTGAAAATTTTAAGTTAATTTTAATATGTTTATATATTTCTATTAGATGTTAATTAATTTTCGTATTTATTACATTTAGTTTTGTATTTTATTCATATTATATATAATAACATGTTAATTTAATATTTGTTAAAACCGATAGAATAGACGGTAAAATCGATTTAACCGCGTACCATTGGCTCGTCCGATATGATAACAGGTACGGTATTTAAAACATTGATACTATGTATATATATAATTGCGAGAGAGAGCTGTCAAGATATATACAACTCTTTTTCTTTGGCGTTGTTTTTGGCTGAGTGCGAGCCTCCCATATAAAACTAAAAAGAATCATCTTCTCTCTTAATCCATTCCATATACCAAATGAACTCGGGACGCTTCTATTAGAGAATATATTGTTTCGGAGTTGGAACCGGCCACATGGTGGACTTGTTTAGAGAGGAGACGCGTGGATCCCTATGACTAGACAAACAAAGACGGGGTTAGCCACATACCCGGGAATTGATTCGATTTTCTTCGTCGCTATTCGAAGAAAATTAAAGTTAATTATTCAAGTCCTTTATAAATCAATATTCGTATTATTACGTGATTTTAAAAGATGCCGACCGTTTCAATTGTAATGTGGGCTGACGAGTTTAGTATTTATTCGATAAATGCTTGTTTTATATCGTTTATATCTGTTGTGTTCAATATATAGCGAGTCCAATTGATTTTCATCCTAATTGATTCTTTCATTGGACATGAAATTCTCCATATGGAAGCCGTGTGGATTTTCATATCTTGAGCTGGATCTTCTATTAATCCTTATGTCCAATATCGGCTTTACTTTACCTTAATGCGATCCTTTCCTTCAATAAACAAAATAGAAATTAAAATGTCACACATAAATAATTAGGAATGTAAATGGGTCGGGTCGGGTCGGGTGCGAGTTTTGCTAAACCCGAACCCGACCCGCGTATGATTTGTCCTACTCAAACCCGACCTTTTACCTGACTATTGATGTTCGGGTTCGGGTTCGAGTTCGGTTTTACCCGATGGGTTATCGAGTCTTCGTTGGGTAAACGGATTTTCCAAATTCTTAATTTGGGTTTTACCTCGTCTTAACTCGACCCGACCCGCTTCATGTGTAATAAAATAAAATTATTCACAATCAATTATAATGTAACTAACTATTTATTAAGTTTAACATAAAATAACTATAAAAACATTCTATATTATTTTGGAAATAGATAATGAGATATAATTATTTATCTCTTATAGTCTAGTTAATAATATAAATTTAAAATTATTTATTTAATTTTTTATATTACCAATAAAAAAATTGATAACAAAAATTAAATAAAATTTAACAATTATCCCAAGTTATAATAAATAACTTAAATTTTAATATTAATAACACATGTCATGACTACTTTTATATTTAATATATGTATATATATATATATATATATATATATAGGTAAGGGATCATATGAGAATAAGACTTGGTGAAAGAAATAAGAATGAATTTGCACCATTCGATCTGTCCAATCAACGGTTCAGATCAAATATCTCGCGCACTAAAATCTGATGCCAGGCGGTGGCATAATCGTAATTAAATCCCAACTCTTAGGTGATGAATACAGTCTCGAGGGCACCGCCGTCATTTTACATAACAAATTGGGGTAAACCCTCGTTTTCGAACACATTAACTGCAAAATTAAAGCAGACACATTTATTACTTTCCTCAAGAGCTCTCTTCGGTCAGTGGAAATATGGTGTCAATGGCGTTGATTTCACCTTTAGTTTGAGGTTTTGAGCCGATTTTCACTCCGATTTTCATCATCGATCAACTTTCAGGTGAGATTGTTCCAGATCTAACTATTTTGATACGTTTTTATTGTCAACGTGTTGATAGCGATTTTATCTATTTGTTTTTTTTTTTTTTTGCTATATTTCAAGGTCCTGCTATAAGTGGACGAACTTGAAGATCTCGAGATCTAGCATTCGAGGATGACAGGTTATATTGAGCATTATTATGCAATATTTATAGACAAAATTAGTTGTTTGGGTGTGGTTATCTGCATTTTTGCTTTAGACATATAAATTAGTTGTTTGGGACGATCCTATTTTTTTGATTTTTTTGGCTTTAGGTATAGATATTTGTTGTTGGGTGTGGTTATATGCTTCTTCTTTTGATGACTTAATTTTATTTATTGAACTAATGTTAGTGCCTACTAGTTAATGAAAGAAATTTTTTCTTGTTCATACATGTTCCTCTTAATGTGAGTGCTAATTAAATAGTGTTGTACTGTTTGTAAGATTATCACCTGAACCTCCTGAATTTCCCCCTTCTCGTTGGTTTTATCATTGGATAATTTGCCACCTGAGATTTCATGTGGATCGACAACCATGTCTTGATGCTCAATAAAACTGGTTTCTGTGTCCTGAGTTAAAGTAGTTGCCTTACTATTCTCTGAAAGTACATGAACAGAATCCATGGGTGTCCTCACCTCTGGTTCTTCCTTCCACAAAGCATTTTCTGTGGTGTGTGCCTTCTGAGCTTCTGTAAATGGTGGATTTGCACTTTCATTTACCAATTGTTCAGTGCGTTCAGTTTGGGAGAAATCGGTTTGTATTAGTTTCTCTTGTTCTTCTTTGTATGGGGTAGTTGTTGTGGTATTCTGCAGTAACAATAAACCACCCATTAAATCCATTTAGTTAGTATAATAAGATATGACTTGATTGCAGGACATGTGCTTTTCTGATAGGCAAAATTGCATTTTATGCCCCGTAACTAGGAGTGTGTGGCAAATGTGGACAACTTCTTTTTGGTTTGGCAAAAGTGCCCTGAAACTTGTTAAAACCCGAAATTCGTACCCAATTTGCGCACAAATTTCGAATTTTTACAAGTTACTGTCCTGTTTTGTCACACGAAAAACCGGTCAAATCCGGTAAATTGTAGGTAAATGGGCACGAATTCAGGGTTTTAACAAGTTTTGGGGCACTTTTGCCAAACCAAAAAGAAGCAGTCCACATTTGCCACACACGTATAGTTACAGGGCACAAAATGCAATTTTGCCTTTCTGATAATAGTGTATTTACTAGTATGATTCTGACCTTATCTTCATGATTTCCTTCCTTCAGACCAGTGTTATCATAAAATTTATATATGATAAATTTATATATGATCTATTTCTTGGTTGTATAGCATGGACTCTCATGTCGGATTTCAGTTGTACGTGCCTTTGACATTAATATATTAATATCTCCATTTTTTTATAAATTTCCTTATCAGAGCATGAGTGTCACACTTTTAGTTCACAGGCTGTGTAACACTCATTGTGTAATTAATTATTCTAATATATGTATTGTGCAGGTATTAACAATGAGTCAACTGATCCGCCGATTGAACAATCGGGCGACAAAGGTCAAGATGCTAATTTTCTAAGAGTGTTGTGATATTTTTCATACGTTATCTATATGTCGCTTATGTTAATATGACGATATAGGTGCACAATCAGTCGTTGACGGTGGATCAGTTGGACCTACAGTAGCTCCGATAGGTATATTGTTGTAGTGTGGTCTATGAATGTCATATTTATTTTTGTTGTGTTCGTAACTTTTTTCAATTATCTCAGTGACGCGTCGTCGTGCGAGTTTAAATTTATCGCAACAAGAAAATGTACCACAAGATACCGACCATGCACAAGGAGGTACGCATATGTTTATTATATATTTTTTTGGCTATAATACGTTTTTTAGTTACTCCGTTCATTTAAATTTGTGTTCTTTATCTCGCAGCCATCAGACAGAACATCGATGCACAGAAACAACCTAAGAAACGCGAAAAACGTGCAAACACGACTAGCCCTTTGGACGACGATGATTTCGTTGATGGCGCGCCTCGACGGGATAGTGATTTAAACGTGGTGGCACGAGATGGTATATTAACATTCAGTTATTTAGATTCTATCTTAATATACATGAGCCTTGAAAGTTTAAATAATTTTATTACATGTACGTATTATGCTCATACAATGTTTGATAAATCGCAGCAAACAAGCGTAAGATTGCTGCACCGATTTAGGCAAAGGGACGTGTGAAACGTGCAAAAATATCTAGACTGGCAGAAAGCGAGGACGCCAATCTGACTCAAACAGAACGTTGTCGAGAGACGACAATGAGAGACGGTATAAAGTTCTACATCTAGCGAACACTGTATTTGTTTTCATTACCCCAACACTTGATTGCATAAAAAGTTTATTTAACTTCCAAGTAATGGAAGAGTGCAGCGGAACGTTAATGGAGAATGTGGTACGCATTCATTGGAAGATACCCGAGCAGAAACTGATGATGCATTCCCGACCGTCCACACGAGAACATCACCAGCAATATTCGTGAAGGCGGTGTCCGGTTTGTCCGAAGACCAGAAACGTGCAGTCCGTGAATTGGGATTCGGATGCTTGCTCGATTTGACGATAACAGCAACCCCGACGAAAATGGGATATTGGTTGGTTGATAATTTCAACCATATGGACTGGAAGCTGCAATTATATGATGTGGGAAAGATCCACGTGAAGGAGGACGATGTGTACAGTGTGCTGGGGCTGCCCCGTGGAACTATCGAGGTCACTAATCGGAAGAAAAAGACATAGTCATGAGCGTTAAAAGAATGGGCCGATATGCATAATGTCAGCATTGCCACCAAAATAACGGCTACAAAAGTGTTGGAGATGATTCAGACTTGTGATAGAAGCGACGACAGGTTTAAGCGTCATTTTGTTGTGCTCGTCGTTACGTGTTTGTTCGAGAGCTCACAGAATGCAGTGGCGAATTTACGCACAATTCACTTGCTTGATGATTTGTCGAATGTCAGCAAGATGAACTGGTGTGCATACCTGATTCGGTGTCTGGTGGGTGCTAAAAAATCATGGAATGCTAATCAAAAGCGCAAGAATTTCACTGGGCCACTGCTATTTTTGACGGTAAGTGCATTCGATCATTGATGACGCTTACTTTATGTACTTTCTTGTTTTTTTTTTTTCCACCTTTTTTGTTTGTTTGTTTGTTATTTATTTATTTGTATTTTATTGTGTTCTTTTGTTTGTGCAGCTGTTTTATGTCGATAAGGTTGTGTTATCGATTAGAACCGTAGCGGGATCACTACCGATTTTCAAATCATGGAATAACGGATTGCTAAAAGCGAGAGAGCGAGACGAGATTGCGGCTGGCGCATTTGGGAGAGGTTATGTGGATGACGACGTACGTGTGTCTGATGCTCGTCACCGTGCCGAAATACATGATGGCAGCCCCAGTGGTAATGACATGAACTGTGCGTCGAAACTCGATGTCCAGGTAAATATACATATTAGTTTATTTTACTATGTGTCTTTTCTTTTTTCATTTTATTTATTATTATTATTATTATTATTATTATTATTATTATTATTATTATTATTATTATTATTTTGGCATGATACGCTTATGATATTATATTTATTGCAACAATTAACAACCTACGGTGCAACAGGTGTAGTAATAATGTGCATAATGGCCCTTTATTACGATGTGATATGTGTTTATGAAACGTGTATTTAGTGCACCAGATGCGTAACATTTGTGCGATATGTGTAGTTATTTGTTGCAGTTTGATATTGTTGGTTCCATATGTTATTGCATGACTTATTTGTTTGCATCTTATGGTTGACATTCTCGTATTTTACACAATTAATCGATTCGTTTTACCATTTTATTTGTTTCAGGCATTTATGCGGGAATTTGCATCAAAGACGCGTGTTCTTGCCACAGCTGGTATTGAAGTTATAAAATTGGTTGAGAATGCACCGCGAGATCTGTTGGGTGACGAGAATTTCACGAAAATGCAAGGTGCGGAACAGAAGCTGCTTGGTATTTGTAATGAAGATTCTAAAGGAAAGGGCAAACAGCATATGCCTAGTCAACCTAGCCAGCATGCCGCCACTTGCCCTGATGAGTCCTCCTTTAAGGCACCAACTCAGATTGTTGACGACGATTTCTGGAATAACCCCGAGAACCTAGCTACCCTAGATGCAATTGTTGACGCTGTTGCACGTCGTGACTGTTTCAAAAGGATCAAAATGATGAGGATGCACAATGAGGGCCCTAGCTACAACTTGGGGCTGGGGCTTTCATCAGACGAAGAAGACGATGCCGCGGATATAAATCGTTGTCATACTACTGGTCCAAATGTGAGTGTTGGACATCAAGTATGATATGGGATATTATATACTCAAGGATCAACCGGTCCGCCGAACCGGTTCAGAGGGTCATACCATGAAGGAATCGAGCCAGACGAGGAGAAGATCGAGCAAAATAACTTGTCGACCAGTCAAACAGTCGACCAACCCATCGCTCGACCAAACAAACGATTGAACAATCCTATCGACCTCAGCAGGTCGAACATCTCGCGGACTCAACGCTCAACAGATCGGCCTAGTCACAGGCGCATGTAAGAGCTTCCAGCTGAATTCCAGGAGAATATTTACCCCATGTGCAGGAGGACACGTGTCGAGAATGTATTGGGTGATAGTGATAACCACCTCTGACAGCTCCCAACGCCTTGCACCACCTCTGACATGTGCGCGGTGTGTCAGAGTACGGACGGGCAGCTTGGGCAGCCAACTCATCCTTATCCGGGCAGCTATTAGGGCAGGTATCTCACCCCTATATAAAAGGGGTGAACCTTTCTCCCTAAAACACATTCTATTCATTCTTCACATCAGTATACTCATACACATACTGACTTAAGCATCGGAGGCTCTTCACCGGACACAACCCCCGGTGTGAGAGTTACTTGCAGGTTTCCGGCGTTCTACCGGCGAGGACAAAGATCGATCCGCTCCAAACCGGACCAGGACGCTCACACTTGCATTAAAGTAGACGAAGTCGCAGTCGGAGAGCCTTCCAGTGTACATGTGCCATCAGGTATTTGATTTTATCATTTTACGTAACTGAGATTATCACCTGATTGTTGTTTTATACACGCGTTTGAGGACTTATATTATTTTTCTTTTTTCTTTTTTTATTTTCTAAGCTGATTGTGACGCAGTGGTTAATGAATCGATCGTCGATACGGATCATGATTGCGTGCAAGGTATATACCGTATATATTGTATATATACATGTCTTTTTTACTGTTCGTTGTGATTGTATTAAAGTTTGTCATTCATGATGACTAGGTGTCGATGGTGATGTGATGGTTGATACTGGTGTTGCTGATGGTGGTGCTGTTGATGTCGGTGTTGCTGATGCTGGCTGTTGTTAGTATTTTTACCGGAGTGGAATCAAAAGATTCTTTCCCCGGGTCTTATGGCAAGGAAGGTTAGCCGGATTCAATCGTACGTTTATTCAATCACGATAAAGAGAAAAAATCCTAAACACTCTATTTCAATGGTTTTGGTTTTAGTTATAACTAGTGACTTGAAAACAAATGAAAAGCGATTTAAATAGAAAACGAATTTACTCAAATGATTAAAGAGCTAGGGAATCGGGGATAATTGCTTTCGGTTCTAACACAACTACCGACAATCAATTGCTCGGTTAAAGGACTTGAATCGTTTC